ATCGCGTAGTTCAGTGCATACAATTTTCAGTACCTGCTGTCATATGAATCACATGTTTTGAGGGACACAAAGCCATCACGGCGACGCAGAAACCACGATCAAAAACGAGGTGTGACGACCGCAGTTACATAATAACGCGAGGTAAACCGTCAAAATGGCTGTACAATTAGTTCTTTCTGTGCCCCGGACCACCTGTTCCGTTTAGCCGTGGTAAGCCTTGACGATTGAGCTACCGTCATTGTCGCAGCAACTACGCTGATTGCGCTTGGACCATAACCACAGGGTAAAGAATCGACATATGTGATGGAGATTGGGGCGTGTGACAGAGGCGCGTCTCACAATGGTTTCCTCGCTTCATCTGAAGGTAGAGACACTTGAACTACATGCTGCTGATCCAGACATCGCCAGAAGGCTTGGACAGTATACGGGCATTGAACGTCGACGCGGTCAGCTAAAGTCAGTTGTACCTGTGGTGTGCACGAGACAGTATCACCCCTCATGCTTATCGAGTCGAGTCCAGCTTAGCTGTCTCGCGTGAAGCCCCACCGATAGCAGGCCTTTGCTGGCCCACGCCTCCCATGTTCTGATTGATCCTAACCTCAGTGTCAAACGTTCAAGGGATTGCACGCATATCGTTTCGGCTCAAGTGAGCCATCCACCTCAACAGGTGTGCAATCATTGGAGCTTTTACACTGTGATCAATTTCACACACGCACACAAGCTTGGAGCCAGAACTGAAGTGTTAGGACTCGAAATTCTCATTCCTCTTTCGTTCTTGTTGTTAGTCCTATTTAATGTTATGTAATGGCATGATTACGAATGACTGAAAACGAGCTTGTTTGCCACACTGTTGTTCTTCTTCTCAATGCGTTCTGTGGGACTATTCGGACGTTTGATCTTGACCCCTTGTTTTTTCCTCATTACTATCCCTGCCCTGTTCCTGCATCCTTTTCATGCACTAGGTGATCAAATATTACGGACTGATATACGTGATATCCCTGTCCATTCGATACTTCACCACATCTCTTACCTAGCCTAATGATTCTCATTTTCTCTGTCAATTCAGCAAAAGGCCAACAAAGAGCTTGTGTGTTTCTTTCTGACCGCCGATCAATTCCGCCGATTCACGTGCCTGATTGATCTGTACCAGCGCGAAGTCTTGCAGGCAGTCAAAAGTCGCCTGTTGTTAGCTATCGGTATATGCTCCTCGTTAGATGTGGCCTGTTCCCGGGTGACTCTCAGTTCTGCACTCCCGATGGAATTGATCCGGGAAATCGGTTCTGCAGGTCCGGAATCAGGTGAGCATGAGTCATTTCTCCGTGTTTCAACCCAGTTGAACTATCAGATTACAAGGCACATTTTCTTCCCTACCCATAAAGTACTTGATGCTAATTTCAGTCTCACGTTATGCAGCGATAAACAAGTCATCTCCGTGCTCCGGTCTTGGCGGCTGTCTTTCGGTTATCTCTCTGGTCAACCAATAAATAAAATGTCAAAGTTGAAAAAGCGTTTCTATAATGAAGATGTAAAGTAGGAGAAAACTAGAAGTTTATGAATGGTGAATGGATTCAAGAGCATCACCCTACATCCGCTGCTGATCCACGCGAGACCCATTCCGAGGACCCTTCTCGGGAAGTCTGGAAAACCTACCCGATCAGGTCCGCTAGTCAGGGTTTTTAGCCTCCGCACCAGATCTCAATCTGTCCATCATTTACCTTCGTCTAACCACTACCTGCATTCACAAACTGAGTTTTATTATATTGATCATAAAACCTCACTGAGATCTTCACAACGGACGAGTAGTACTGATGCTCACTTAATTGAGTTGTCTGTTTTTATTGTATGTGTTACGTCATCGTCGTCAGCTGGACAGAAGGAACTTAGGTCTTCGATTACGCAACACCTATTTGAAATGAAGCACTGCGTCACTCCAGCCCACTCGTTTCAGGTTATTTAAAACAAAATTACTGAAATCCACCGATCCTCTGACCGTTCATAATCACATATCCGGTCTATGCAAACAACGTGAATGTTTGGTCACATGAGCATTATCGTGTGTTCATTGGAGCTTTGTGGATGGGTACTACCAG